GCACGCAACGGCCGCTCGGCCGGGGGACAACGCGCCTGGCATCGCGGCATGGGGCACCCACAGCATCCCTTGCTGCGAGCAGAAAGAGCGGAGCCGGCACCGCTACTCGTGAGCTGCCCCAGGCTGCTGAGCCCCTCGACACACCGGGAAGGAGATGCCACCAGCCCTGAGGAGTTTACCATTGAGTTAAGAAAAATGCAGCAAGTTGGTGGAAGCCACGGAGAATGAGGGAGGGGCAGATGGCAGCAAGAAGGTGGATATCAAGGTGGTGTGTGAAGGAAAGTAAGGATGTCCTGCTGGCCCTGACTCACGGTCACCACTTGGCTGTGTCTTCCAGCAAGCAGCTCAGAAGGGGACCCTGCCTCCACCGGGCTCACCGACATCCATCACTCCTGCCCCATGCTGCTCCCCGTGACCTTGTCCTCCCCTGCGGGCACTGCCTCCATCAGTCATTTCATTTGCCCAGAGTGTTTCAACAGGCTTTGTGCTCCTTGGCCCCAAATCCTTCAAATCCACCCTGACCTCCTCCTCCTGGGTCCCAGAGCAGTGGCAGGAGCAGCCCCATCTCCATGGACTTGGGTTGCCGGTGACCCCCTGCAGCGTGGTGCCCAGGCTCCGGGCAGCGGCCGCACTAAAGGAGGATGTGCTGGGAGGGGATGGTTCACCCACTCCCCAGGTACGGTGTTTGGGCGAGCCCAGTCATGCCCACACAGCTATGGAGGCTGCAGGGAGGGCAGCTGGAGATGGGGTTCCTTGTTCCTCACCGGGGTCGCTGCTGCAGCCCGTGTCACGCCCGGACGCTCTGGGCAGTGTGGGTGAAGCACCGATGAGTGATGGATGAGGGAGGATGCCTGAGCGGGGCTGGCCCTCGCCCCGCTCCCAGGATGCGCCTGCACAACCCGGCACTCGCTCTGCAAGCTGGACCGAGCTGTGATTGTCTTGGCTTGAGTTGAAGGACTTTCTCATATAGTTTGACTTGTTCTTTTAGGATGATGAATGGGACTCTGACTTCAGCAACATCTGTTTATTTTTCTTATATGTAAAACCTCATGTGCAGAAGAAATTGCTGGGTAATTACTGGAGAGGGAGAGCATGGCCCTCCAACTCCACAGCAACTGCAGCTCTCCAAAGCGATCCCATCCCCTTCCCAAAACCAGGGGACGCTTGGCCACAGGTACCCATGCAGGACACCCGCCACATGCCCCAACACTGCCTGACACCGTGGGGCTCAGCCCACACCAGCAGGTCCTGACAAGCTCTGGAAAACCCACTGCCCCAGCCCTTGGCTGGGGTAACAGCTCTGCAGGACTCCCCCCGAAAAAAAACCGGACCCTGCCACCCTCGCACTAGCCTGCTCCTCCAGGCCGTGCGGCTTCTCCCCTTCCATCCCTGCTCCCCACCGCCTCGCTCACACCCCTGCAGCAGCCGACCACATGAACCAACGCGCCGCAAGCCACGTCCCGAGCCGGGACCCTCCCAGCCCAACCGGGCACTCTGGTTTCATCCTCTGACTCAAACACTGTAAAAAGGAACACTGATTAATTTCGTGTCAGGTTGTTAATAGTTTCCACGTGCTGCACGGGCCAGGGCATGGCATTTGGTTGCTCATGCCCACCAAGCACCAGTGAGGGGCACAGAGGGCTGGAGCCCCACTCCTGGCCAGGGGCGATGCCCCAGCACAGCCCCAGCCCCGGGAGGGTCCCAAGCAGGGGGGTCCATAGGAATAAAAGCACATGATAAAAGCAAACAGCCTCGCAGCCACCACAGCCATCGCTCCCCGTGGGCACAAGGGAAACGAAATCAGCCTCAGCCCCAGCCCACGGGCAGGACCCGGCCAGGCTTCCCCCCGCCCTGGGCATGGCCCAGCTCCTTCGGCGCCAAGCCCAGAAGGTTCCCTGCTCCCCTGAGCTGTGGTTGCCCCCGTATCAACGTATCTCAGATGCTTTCCAACACAGGACAGCCCTCTGCACTGCCTGGCCTCCCTGCGCACTGCGTCGGACTAACCCCACCGATTCGTTCCTCCAAGCATCTCCCCGGCCGCTGCCGTGCAGAAGGATGGGGCTGAGCTCAAGGGGACGGGAGCTGTGGCTCTGCGTGACCTCGGCGTCACCGACTCGACTGGGAAAGCAGAGGCTGGCCGACTGCTCGCAGCGCGCCGCGGCGGCGACAGCGGCGGCACGGCCCAGCTGGGAGCGGCACATCCCCGGGCAGGCAGGGCGGGTGGAAAATGATGGGAAGGTTTTGTCGGATCGCCAGCTTTCCCACCTTCTAGATTTATGACTCACAGCCCCAAAATCCCAGCGGCTTCCTCGCGCACTCTACGCCGGGCCGTGC